GTGCTTGGCGGCTATCGCCATGATCCCTAGGACATTGAGCTCCGCGAGCAGTGTTGGACACAGCGGTTAGAAGTAGATTTTTGGGTTATGGAGCACCTGCCGTGTGTCGTGGATTGAGACTCATAATCGCAATCTTGGCCTCGGTTGACTTTAAGGTCAACCCCTCTCAACCTAATCGACTGTCGTATAAAGAACTAGCAAAGCTTATGCTACTTGTAAAGGGAAATATATGTTCTTCTTACGGAAAATAAAGTAAATTATCCGTTTCCAACAACTCAACCCAACACTAAGGAACATAATTTTGCTCGGGGTTTAGCCGTTACTCCACTCTGCGATCGACGAAATTTCCTGCGTAATAGAGACAGATTACAGAGTGTGCGCTTAACTAACCTCTCTAAGGCTGCATAGCGTCTAACGATACTGTTAATATAGTCGTCTTGTCAAAACTAACCGCAAAGTATACTGCGTATATTCTGAGAGGAATGGCTATTGTTTGCGTCTTGTGATAATGGCTAGCTGGTAACTATCACCAGCCACTTCTTGAACTCCATATAAATAACTAACACCACTAGGTTATCTGAGCCACTACATGCAATTTATTTCAGTTAGCACTTCAAAGCGTTCTAAACCCTCAATTTGTTACTGCACTCTACTTGGCGAATGTGGTAACGAAAGCTGCCATGATGAAGGTGCATTATTTATTCACGATCAAAAACTAAATTTTTTCCTCCGCTGCTCGAGGAACTGGGTAACTCAGCAGTTCACAACCAACCCACGGGTTTTAGTCCAAACTCTAGTTATTCATCCGGAAAGCCGATAATGAACAAACATGATCGTGGAGTATAGTGGTGGATGACAGAAGCACCTATAATGAGCTATCCAATTGTTTTGACTGAATTTACTGACTTGAATCCCTGCGTTGTCAAGCTGCAAATAGGGAAAATTGTAGAAGATTCCTGAATGCCCTATCCTGTGATATGCTCGGTGTGCACAATGATAACCCCACTGTGATTCTCACTACCGTTTACCCAACCGGTGTCCTTGTCCTAACCTAAAGTTTGTGCACTCTGACTCTCGGTCCAGATTCCATGATACGATGTCAACTCCATTCCGAGGTCATCTGTGCTCTGAGAATTTAGCGCGCCACATTTAGTCACTCACAATTTGGCATAGTTTAAAGCTCTGAAAAAAACAATTATCTCTACATAGTAATGTAATATTTTATTCCATCCCTCTGGAAACTGATGTGTAAAACATTTTGTTATATTTCGACTCACATTACCGCACAGTACAGTAGTGACCTCACACGATTACGACTATTATGTAGCTTTAGGTTATACACATGGAAACCAATTTGTTCGTATGGCCTATTGTTTCGTTCTCACTTCCTATGTGCGATTGAAATACTTACCATGTCATAATTATGTGTGTAACGCACGTATAACGCACACATTTCAGGGTAGCTTCCATTTTGATTGACCACCATCCATCTTAATTATTCAGGTAAAATGGCGGCGTAATGAGTTGCTAGTTTGTACCTCGTGTGACTTAAGTCATACTTGCTAGATATTTTATGTGAATTGAAATTTATTGAGTTGGGCTTGTAATGAAAGCACAGGTTGTTGAGGCTCTGCGTACTTGTGTTTCTACTTATTTCTGAATTGTACCGTAATCCGGTACCGGCTTTGCTGCTTTTGATTCCGTTGAAAACAAGTTTGCTCAAGGATTTCAAACGGTTTGAAGCTTACAAAAATTGGGGATATTTTCTTTGCGTGATTAGCACGTTGCAACTCTTATTTCAGAAACAAAAGTGAGTTGCTTTCGGGACAATTTCGCATTGTACGCTAGCCGCTGATTAACGTCTCACTTTGCGGCTAGAGGTTTTCCGATTACATTTGAAATGCCATATCGAAGTCAGATCGTACCATTGTTTAAAGCATTGAAAGAGTGAAGTAGATACAGTTGAATGATGATGGATATGCAAACAAAGTGACACACAAAACATTCGTACGTTCAAACCCACAGACATGGTGGAATTGACTTGTTTACTGTCAGCTGCATAGCTCAATGAGGAATTCAAGAAAGTTAAGAAGCGTTTCCTTTTACTCCGAAATATGTTGGGTGCTGTGGCTTACGATCATCCACGGTGTCATCATATCATCATCATACTACACGTTAGCTGGAGGTGGGGAACACCTCAGCTACTGTGCCGCAAACATAGAAAAAAGGAGGAAAAAAAGCAACTGGTGCAAGCTGGCTGAGCTACCGGTAACGGATGGGCATCGTCCCGGTAAGCTACCAGCCGGCTAATGTGCACCAAAAAATTACTATGCAAAATTATATAAGGCTAAATAATGAAATCATGGTTGGTGGTGGAGGCTAAGAAGGATGGGGTGGGACAAAGAAATTCACAGCACGAACGCCACTGAGGTCGGCTCCTAGCCATATCAGCAAGTGGGTCCAACCAAACGTGTTCATCGTCTTTCGGACCCCAACCAGGGAGGCGAGACGCTCCAACCAAGGCCACCTCAGAAGTGAAGACCTATATTCCTCTCGACCAAGTCATCGCTTGGCCACCCCTCCTCTTTTTCCATCTACTCCCCCGGCACGCAAATAACACACGTCGCAGGAATCGAAGGGCTGGCATGCGTAACACGTGGCCAAGCCATCGGAGCCTGATGCGTGAAATAACGGTGCTGAGCGGTTCAGTTCCTTTTCCTGTGCCGTAAACAAGGCGTCGAACAAGCTGGTTGCTCACGCGGTGTTCCAACCAGATGTGAGCTAAATTACGAAGGCACCGATATTCGAACGTAACTAACCTCTTCAGGTCCGCTGCTTTAAGCGGCCAGGTTTCATAACCGTAGGGTCGAAGGTACAGCTGCATTATACACTCTACCCTTCAGGGCGAGAGTGATGTCGCGCCGGCGCCATAAGTGGCGAAGGTTAGCAAAAGCGCATCGAGCTTTTGCTATAAGATTCGTGATCACATCATCAATCCCACATGCGCTGATACAAGTTCCCAGGTGGTTGAATTTTTGAACGACTTCTAGCTAATCCCCACCAAGGATCAGCGCAGCAGACGATCCCTGACAATCTTGGAGGAACGCTTTACACTTCGAGGGTGCGAAGCAAAGCCCGAAGTGACGGACAGCTAGTGCTAATCTGTCCAGTGCCGCTTGGCACGTTTGTGAGCTGTCACAAATTAGGGCAATATCATCAGCATACTCTAAGTCAAGAAGTCGTTCTCCTGGCAGCAGATCCACACCTTCTAAGTCGTGTCCCATAAACGCGAATTCCATGACTTCGTCAACAGCGAAGTTGAAGAGGAAAGGTGACAGTGGGCATCCTTGTCTCACACCGCTGGAGATATTAAAGGGCGACGACAACTTGCCGTAAGCCCTCACTCTGCCCGAGTTATGCGCATACAATGCTCGGATAATATTCACATATTTCTCAGGTACACGTTTCCTGAGTAGACAGTCCAAAGCGCTTGTCTATCCACCGAGTCGAATGCACCTTTGATATCGAGGAACACGACAACGGTGCGCCGCCAATATATGTGACGGTGCTCCAATAACCGACGCACGGTGAAGATGTGGTCAATGCATCACGACCTCGTCGAAATCCAGCTTGCTCTTCACGAATCTGGCTTTCACGAGTGCCAGTCAGCCGGTGAAGGATGATAGAGGCAAACAATTTGGAGGCGGTGGAGATCAGACTGATTCCTCTATGGCTGCTGCATTCCGATCGTGAGCCTCCTTTGAAAATTGGGACTATGACGGAGAGGCTCCAATCGGTTGGGACAGTTTCCTGCTCCCACGGTTTGACTAGTAACTCGTGTAAATCATCTACAAGAGCAGGTCTCCCGAATTTGAAGAAGGCTGGAGGTAGGTCATCAGGTCCCGCGGCTTTGTTTAACTTCAACAGTTCGATCTCACCTTAGACTTCTGAGCGAGTGGGTGGATCCAAAGTGACAGCCCACGGAGCGGGGCGATCAGCGGCCGGCGAGAAATCTAACCATTCCGACCGATGAACTTGCCTTTTAAAGTGCTCAGTCCAACGCTCTAAGCGTTTTGATAAGTTGTGGATAGGCTGTCCACTCTCGTCACGTATAGTTTCACTAACACCATGTCTTCTGCTGCCCGTTTCCCGTATCAGACAGAATAACTTACGATGGTTACCAAGGGCAGCGGCCATTTCCATCTCTGATGCACGATGAGACCACCAAGATTCGCGGTCTGTCTTTAGGCTAGCACGAAGTTTTGCCCGGAACACTTTGCAAGCTTCATTGTGTTTGCTTCCAGCCGGAATATGCCGGCGAGCATCTATAAGTTCCAGAGACTGTGAAGAGACTCGATGTTAATGTTGGCGATTTGACATAACACATGAGGATTTTCCTGCTGCTAATAACGTCTGGTGAATATGAGACCAGTGAGCTTCAATTGCACATCCACGGTGTGGTTAATTTCAATTATAACCAAAGGTCTATTCAGCCGTTTTAGACGTTTTGAAGTTAGTAGAAAGTAGGCTGGGTTGTATTCTGGTGGAAGGATTTTGGGGGTTCTAGTGGTGGTGTAAACAACAGAAGTGTAACCCTTTGATTGGGTATCATCAAGTTATACATGAGGTATTTATTAATAGCAAAGGTAGTACGACGTGGCGTTTTCTGAATAAGCTATCGCGGAAGCCTATTGATTAGCTAGTTTAAAATCATCTTATCTAGGCTCAGATAGACAGTCATCACACTCCCGGCAAAGCAGTGTACGGCCGATTCATCTTTTAAGAAATCATCAGCATTGTGCATTCCATTTGTCCCCAGTGGGACTAGAACCCGAAACCGGACAGTTCCCAGTTCATGATGAAAGCCACTGAGCTGCGGGTACGGTAATGACTGACGTGACTAACTTATTGGATGTGATTTAGCACCACGTAGTATTTACTGACTTACAAGTCACTGCCATGCAGCGAACAGGGTAACCCCTAACTTATAGCTTGATATGCGCAAATCAAGGTAATACGGATTTACCTTTACATGTTCCGTTGTAGAGAACCTTCAGGGGCGTTTGCTTCAAACAGCTTGCAAGCAATCTGTAACATTGGTTCGCGTACGTCTTTCCGTCATTCGCACAGATTGGATCGGGCGTTTCGGATTCACATTTAAATCCTTTGCAGATACAGCTAACCGTAGGCAGCTTGACTGATTTGACTGTTTCATCGGATCTTGTAGAACACACAGCGCCGAAAGCACAAAGGTTACCGAATTCACATAGTGTGAATCTTTGGTCAGGCTTATCTAAAAATGTAAAACGGCCTAACCAGTTAAACTCGTAAACACTGCTAATAGATGACAGAGTAAAATAAGAACTTGAGGTTAGGAAGAGATATCTTTTCAGTGCTTCTCATCAGGCAGATACAAGTATAAGAAAGCAAATAAAACGCAACTCAGCAAGCCAGTTAAGTGCAGACTGGGAATAGGTGACTGGGGAGCGTTTGAACCATGTTGCCACACCCGATTGAAATTCCTGTCGATAAACTGAAGACAAACGCTACAGCAGCCGACAGCGTGAAGAACATCGCACTTGCCCACCGACATTGCCTGACGCCTGGGAGTTGGCGCTTGGCCAAAGCTAGAAAAGCGCTTGCACAAAGGTCTTTTTGCTTACACAACTCTGATGGCAAGCAACTCGGCCCTCCTCAGCAGACGTTTTCCACGCCCTTTGAGACACAAGTTTGCACAGTGTAAAATGCGTTGAATGAGTCGGCTGGTCAGATTTCCTGTCCACTTTGGGACAAGCTCCCCGTGATGGCACTATTAAATCTCTCGACCAAGCTCATTCCTAGCGATGCTGGGCAGTGCTCAGTGATTTATTTTGGCAGACGACTGGTCCTATGTCCAGTGTGTCTTTCACCAAAGGTGAAGGTGTATTGGTATAGAACATACGAGTTGGAATGGACCGGGAGTCTGGCTTTAAGACGTTGTGTGATAAGCAAGGTAGTTTGCGCCACAACACGTGGGTAGGGAGCTGAATAGGCTTTGATATCGACAGTTGAATGTTTTCTATTCAGTAAACCGAATGCGACCTCTCCTTTGAATAGCATGATGAAAAGGACATACTTTTAGTAACAGTGATGACAGTTTTCGGTCGCATACAGACAGTGGCTTGTTTTATGATGAACGAAATAGGGTAATCATTATCTTGCAGCATTGTAAGGATGCGATTTTTCTATTCCTCCAGTGTCTCCCGACTATCCGTTTTGTCTGCACGAAAATACAAGCAGTAAACTAAGTTTATCTTGTATTGCTAAGGTTCGAAGAGTACAAAGCGCGTGTATTGGCCTGCCAACGTAGCTTTCCAGAAGACTTATCTTAAGTGAGCCATCTTCCCGTCTCTTTAGCAATGCGTCCAGGAAAGCTAGCTTACCTTCACGTTCAATCTCGCTAGCGAAGTTCCACGATGAATGTGCATCGCTGAACTGAACCGGCAGTCAGGGTACATCGACACTTGGTTCACAGACAATAAATGTGTCGTCCGAACAACTTTACAAGACTTCACCAAATCTGCCAGCACTGTTAATCGTTACTGGTACTACTAACGTATATTGACAAAGGGCATGATATATGTCCGCAAGAAGTTAAGGTGTTCTTGGTTCTTAGGAAACCATCATTAATGTTGTCAACTCAAATTGAACCCAATGAGTTACATGCTGATTTCCGTCTAGAGACAGAACGTTCATTTTATGAATCACATTTATATCCAAAGGGACGCAACCCGCAAACTAGAATCCGTCGCTTAAGGGGCTGCAACCGAAGGTTGCTCAAATTCCGACTGCATAAGGGAACTATTTGCTTAGACTAAGGGGTCCGTTCCGTGTGCTACCAGGGTCGCTCGTACCAAAGCGGACAGTAGCGAAAGGTCAGAAAATTCTAGCCTCAATATCCACCTCAGATGTGATCTAAGAGTCTTACAGCATTATCCACCATCCAAAATCAATTATGATGGAGAAAAATGTAGAGGTTACGGGATTACACTGATTGTTGCAGAACACAAACTCTGAGGCCTTCCTTCAATGGGAAAGAAAAGACTACACCATTTAGAGTCAAAAGAACACGAGATCATATGTGAACAATTGTTTTCGACGATTCTATTCAGACCATTACAATCAGATTTAAGGGTATAATAATGAAAGGAAATGGACTCATTGGGTAAAGTTACAAACGCGTGAAGGAGCACTGCCCGCGCTGGTTGCGTCAAGGAGAAACTGGGGCCATTAGCAGCGCCGTTTTGGCCCATATTGTCGACACGGGGCACCAAGTCGATCTAAAGCTTGCCTTCAGGTCCCCCAGCATCAAGCAAGAGGTTTGCGCCTCCGTGCGCTCGCGACAGCTGAATCCATTTGCATTCGGTTGTTTCAACCTTCATTATGCTCGCAAAAGAAGTTGCTCCATTCCTTACAGCTTCCCTGGCCAGCTAGAACGAAGGATACTGAGGACGATTGCCACAGATCAAGTTCGATAACATGCAGTCGACCAGTCAGACCAATGGTCGACATTTAGCCTCCCTCACTGATCCGTTTAACTAACTATGTAACTTGACCCAATGAGTCGATTTCAGTTCATTACTTTACCCTTAAATATGATTGTAATGGTCTGAAGAGAATCATCGAAAGCAATTGTTCACCTATGGTCTCGTGTTCTTTTGACTCTGAATGGGAATTTTCAAATTGCTTAAACTACACCATTTCTTGGCCATGTTATCGTCTTGGGCAACAGAATTAATCTGAGGGGGCATACAACATGATTCTACTCAATTAATTTGAGCCGTGCTACGCCACTTATTTGTGCAGGTGTGTAGGTGTGCGTGCAGAGCCCGTCTCCTTCAGCCAATTGGACCTCAGACGCACTAAGTCATAGGGGTGTAGGTGGGACGCTTCAGCTCCTACCAGGGACAGTGTCGCTGGCCCATGCAACAGGTTGGCCTTCGTTTCTTTGTCCTAAGAAGCGATTCCCACAAATTAGAACAAGAGTAGGGATTGGAATGACGATTTGGTTGGTATAAGGAGCCACAGCCAAATAAGTTTGCCGTTTGTTTTTGAATGTGCAGTTCACCTAAACGCAATGGTTGGCTCGTATGTTCGGCACTCGACAGAGGTGAAGAACGTTGTACTGAAAGCTTACGAGAAGGGTTACAATTGGAAGCAGGTCGCTTGCATACTGAAGGTGAAGGTTTTTGGTTGCGTCATCTCGTTACAACGCGGTGACACAATTGCAGCGATCGCTGCCCCAAAGCTCACAATTTCTTATAAAGTATTACATTGAAGCAGCAAGCTATGGATGCATTTGACTAGGCGATACGATGGCATGGGATTCGGCCGAAATTGCCTGCGCATATATATATATATATATATATATATATATATATATATATATACGCTGCACCACTTGGTTCAACGCGTGTGGATTGAGGAGGAGGTGCCTCCTGAGCTGAAGGATGCCCTTGTGCTACCACTGTACAAGGGCAAAGGTAGCAAGCAATGTTGCACGAATTATCGTGGCATCAACTTGCTGAGTTGTGTGGGCAAGGAGATTGCCCGAATCCTGCTCAATCGCCTCGTGAGTCAGATTGTGGAACCAAACGTGGCGGAAGAGCAATGTGGATTCCGTTCGGGTCGCAGCACTATAGATATGGTGTTTGCGGCTCGTCAGTTGCAAGAGAAGTGCAGAGAAGGACACCAGCCATTATACTTGCTTTTTGTTGATTTCACCAAGGCATTTGATACGGTGAACCGCGATGCACTGTGCGTGGTGTTGGGTAAGTTTGGTTGCCCGCGTAAGTTTGTAACTTTAATTGAATGTCTGCACAGTGATATGCGAGCGAGGGTGCAGCTGAGTGGAGAGACCTCTGATGACTTTGCAGTTGTCTCTGGTGTGAAGCAAGGCTGTGTGTTAGCTCCTGCCCTGTTTAAGATCTATCTTCATGCAATGTTGTCTTGTGCTTTTGATGCGGCTTGTGCTTACGGTGTTCGTGTGGAGCACCGTATTGATGGTGGGTTGCTGAACATCCGTCGTTTCGGTGCGAGAACTCTAGTCTATGAGACAACTATCCGTATGTTGCTACTTGCTGACGACTGTGCGTTGTTTTCACACAGCGCGGATGAGTTGCAGCACATGGCTAGTGCTCTGGCTTCGACAGCGGCCAAATTCGGGCTCACCATCAACACAAGCAAAACTGTCTGTCTCTTTCAGCCTTCACCGGAGGTGCAATCTTCAATATTGCCGCAAATCAGCATTGGTGCTGAAGTATTGGAAACCACCTCCCGCTTCTGCTACTTTGGGATTGTGCTGTCGACTGATCAGCAGCTACACGTTGAGTTGCGTAATCGCGTGTCGAAGGCGGCAGCGGCATTCGGGAAGCTTGAGTACCGAGTGTGGAACAACCATCAGCTTAGCATTGGCACGAAGCTGATGGTGTACAAATCCATGGTACTGTCCGTTCTTCTATACGGCAGTGAAACGTGGACGATGTACCGGTGGGATGTGCGATATCTCGAGCGGTTCCATCAGCAGTGTCTGCGACGAATTTTGCGGATCGGCTGGGGCGCCAGAGTTGCAGACACGGAAGTGTTGCGCCGAAGTGGGATGTATGCAGTGGACTGCATACTTTTATTCAGACACCTGAGATGGCTCGGTCATGTGAGCCGTATGGATTCGACGCGGATACCGAAACAACTCTCATACGGTCAGCTGAGTATTGGGAAGCGGCATGCTGGGAAACCAAAGTTATGTTACCAGGACATGATTAAAGTGAGCCTCACACGTTCTAATCTTGATTGCAGATCATGGGAATCGAAGGCGTTTGATCTTGGTGCATGGCGCGATCTAATCACGAAGGCACTTGCTGAAGTGCGAGAGAAATCCCTCATGCATGCAGAGAAGAAGCGGCAGTTGCGGAAGCGGCAAGCACCGATTAATTGTACTCCATCGACATCGAGCGCATTGTGCTGTAGAACATGCGGTCGCGAGTGCCTTAGTCAGGCAGGCCTAGTGAGCAATGAGAGAGGTCACTCGGGACCACTGCCGAAGCGACGACGGGTCCCGCAGTGAACGTAGGCAGCACCGGCGCAGCGTTTGTAGGCACGCTGAATTCGATTTACTAACGGCATGCTTGCATGCTAAGTCTCTTTATTTCAGGTGGTGGATTTTCGGTTCTCTCCTAATGCCTTTCTTTCTCATACAAATGTCTAGTGGGCCATGAGGTGTGCCATTTGGGGCCACTACAGAAGCGACGACGGGTC